TTAAGTTTATTTTATCAAGTCCCAAAGCAGGTGCCAATGACAGGAACCTGACACGCAAAAACAGAAACAGGCATTTGAATACATTTTCTCACAAAGAAAATGTATTCAACCACTTTGTGACCACAGGACTGCTGCCACGTGGTGATATGTCCGAGGTGTAACTGCCTTGAACGATCATAAACCAGCTAATTGATCCAGAAGCGGCTCTATGCGAGGGGGGCTAGTTCTAGTGCTAAAGCAGAGGCCTCTGCTGCATGTCTTCCGCTCTACCTCCCACCTACTTCCTGTATGTCAACTGTGGAAACAAAGGTCACATAAAGTAATAGCGATTAACATGTGAGATGTTGGGTGTACTGTGTACTGGATTTTAAATAACAGACTTTGAAAGCCCCAAAGGGCAAAAATAGTTCTACATCTAATAAAACTTGATAACTGAATAACACAGAATTCATATTTTTTTAAGCTAAAATTGATGCTTTTCAAACATTAAAGAGTTGCAAAATGCTTTTTATGCATGTGCTGAGTCTACAAATTAGCCCTAACATGAATAATATTACATTTTAGAAAAAGAAAATTCAGTTTTCACACATTTTAACTGCTGTGTTTGCAACAATGAAACCCAGCAGTGCACTGCTGCTACCCACATTCTCACTAAAGTACTTCCTCTTTTAGCTCACATGAAAGCCTGAGAGTTGAAACTGGAAACAAGTTGCATTAAAGTTTTACACTTATTTTGCATGTCTGCTTTACTTGCTTTTACTTTATCGGTTAGACGCCTCTGTCTGAAATGAGCTTTGTGGTTTAATACAAAGTTCATCAAAGAGCTTTAAATTCAAGAGTGATCATTTACCTCTTATTATACCCTTAGCGAATTTAGAAATACTTTAACATATTTTTCTTTGAATAAAGATAAGACGAGGAAGTAACACATCTTATACAGGAAGTACAGATGACTTTCTAAACACAGCCAGTATCTGACAGTTTAGTGCGTCAGAACAACAACAACCTGAGAGGAGCAATGGCTGAACTCAGATGGTTAAATTTTTTTTTTATTTCTGATCCTAACACTTCAATATAAAGGTAGACATAATTGAAAGGCTCAGAAATGTCACTGTGGGATATTCATTCTACTAAATTCAGTCCATAAATCAATCATGTTGGGTTAGTATGTGAATAAGTTTTAATTCAAATTGATTTATCTTTAGTTTTTTGTTTTTTCCAGCATTTTATTTTCATTGCACTCTCACAAGTACAGCACGACACAAATTACTCTCTGAATTTTACCCATCCCCTTGGGGAGCAGTGGGCTGCCATTGTGCGGCGTCCGGGGAGCAGTTTGGGGTTAAGGGTTGCTTAGGAACCCAAAGTTGCTGTCTGTGGGAGTGGGGCTCGAACTCACAACCTTCAGGCCTGTGCCCGAACCACTAGGCTGCCACTCCCCAACCAGAGAAATAGAAGAAAGCACAGAGTGTCAGGATGTGGTGTTTGATTGGAGGACCCAAATGCAGAGGCCAGTAGGCAGAGGTGAATTTAAGTGGGTTTATTAAGGTTCACAGGAACTGACGCAGGAATCAAAATCCAACAGAAAATAACAAACGCAGCAGAACCAAGGAGACATCAGGGGTAAACCAGAACTCTAGGAGCCAGGGAGAGACGAGGAAAGCAGACAGACTTTCATGATGGGTTTAAGGTTCTTAGCCCACATGCAGAACACAACGGAGGCTGGGTAAAAGTTTAACAGAGTTTATTGAATGTTTCACAAAACACAAGATAATGTACTGGGTCAGGAACTGGTCCGGGCTGGTTCACTGAAGTCTGCAGAGATGATAGTTTGATTAGAATGCAGGCTGATGAGTTATGAGTCTTTGATAATTCAGGTTTGTACCTTGACTGAGTCCAGGCTTCTCCTTGAGAGAGAGGGAACCGTTGGGTCCAGAGACTGTTTGTTCAGCAGAGTTCAAGAGCAGCTGCAGCGTCTTGCTTCTGACTTTGAATGGCAGACCTTGATCAGAGTTTCCAGCTCTTAACTAAGAGCAGCAGGGGAATCCACATAGGAATCTTCAGGTTAGGCTCTCTAGGGCAGGTTAAGCTCATCCAGAGCTTCAGGCTAGAGACAGGTTTCCTGTGAGGCAAAAACAGAGGAGAGTTAGAATCAGATCTCTCTCAAGAGACAACTAAGATTCTTCAGGTTCTAGGCTCAGGTTGCTAACCAAACTAAGGTCAACACTGCGGCGTCGAAGCAAGGTCTGGCAGCTGGTTATAAAGGGGAGGTCTCCTGATGAGTAGATGCGTCTCAGGTGTGCTGGAAGACTCCAGCTCCAGGAGACCCACGGCGCACTCTGCTGGAGGAAGGTGGTACAGCTCCAGATCCCAACACAGACGTTAGACGTGGATCCAGCAAACAGGAACTGAAGAGGGAGGGCTTTTAAAGGGGACAGAGACAAAGAGAGGGCTAACGAAGGAATTGAAAACAGGTGAGGGCAGAACAGAAAACAGAGCAAGGGAAAGAGGACACAAGAGGGCAGCAGAGGACAACAAATGGAAAACCAAGAAAAACAGGAACTAACAAACCAAGACTCTGACACAGAGGCAGGTCCAGCCACAACAGACTCATCATTTAATGGAGGTAAACATGCTGTGATGCTGTTTCTTGGTTACAGGTTTTTACTCTCCAACTAGCTGGTGAAGATTCTCAGTCATCCAGGTCATAGTCATTCGAAAAAGGTTAATAAACAATCTACTGGACTTTGTTTTCCCATCTAGGAAGCTTTTTCAGCTCCTGGCCAAGAGATGTTATGGCTTTCGTGTGGTGTGAGATTGGAAGGAGGTGGTTTGACGCTTGACAGGGTAGCTGTTACTTTCATCCTGAGTTGCTCTGCCTCTGTTGCAGCCAGGTTGTTGTTCCTCATGGCAGATTGAGTGGCAGTGATCAGCTAGCTAATGGGTTTTCTTGTGGAGAAATGCTGGGCAATCTACGCAAAGGCATGAATTTTGCCATTTCCCAGTCCAGCGCCAAACCACCTCCTTCCAATCTCACATCTCAGGAAAGAAAAGCCATAACATCTCTTGGCCAGGAATTGAAAAAGCTTCCTGGATGGGAAGCGAAACGTCTTCAAACTTGGAAAAAATGTCCAGTGGATTGCCCACCAACTAATTCTACAAGTTGTTCAGAGTTAATATAAAAGTCATCCTTGTTGATTTTCAGTTTGAACAGTTTACCCAAAGCTTCCCTTTCTCACATTAAATGTTAACCCTCCTTCATCTACATGTTAGCCCCTGTAGCCAAATCAGAAGATGGTTCTGCTACCTTTTCTTTCTGTACACCACCCACCCCCATCATACACCTGTTTTAACAGCCTGATGTTGGTCATCAGATGCTAATAGATGAGTGATACAGTATCTTAAATGAGAGCCTTTTCCAGATCCCATGTAACATTGACTGCTAAAGGAGATCCTTTCTGCCCACAGCCGTTAACAACTCTTTGCAGGGACCTTAATAGCAGGAGTAAGAACTAATTTTTATAATTTCAAATACCCAATTCTCAGTCTTTCACTGAGTAAGCAGGTTAAAGAAATTAGTTTGAGGAAGATTCACATCACTTTAATATACAATATTCTGCGGATGTGTTGTTTCCTGCTGAAGATTTAAAACAATCTAAGTTAATATGTCTATTAATGTCACCCATAAATGTGTTAACTGTGTATATTTCTCTATTCATTGTGGGTTAAAACCTCCAGAGCTCTGCTGCTGCTGTTCCCCACATTCTCATCAATCACTTCCTCATCAGTTCATAGAAAAACACTTCAGAGTTTCAACCAGGAACCAGCAGGTTTTAAAGAGTAAAATACAATCTTACCAGTGTGACTGATCTATGAAATTAGACTTTTGATCTGCTGCTCTTCATCAATGAAAATAAGAGCTTCTGTATTAATCTGATTGATGTTCCAGGTTTCTGAAACAAACAAATGAAGCATCACAATTTTCACAATTTCGCATGTTACCGTCTGTAATGTGATATAATGGAACTGAACAAAATACGCTCCTAATGTTAATGATTATCGCAGTAAAGGCCTGATATTGCTCAAAAGGATCCTGAAATTAGTGCATTATAAGAAATGAATGTTCTAGTATTGGATGCTAAGTTTAAACATATAGATGTTTTTACCACATAAAGCAGCGAGTCGACCATCAGTCAGAGTGAGGACGTGGTGAGTCTCAGGAAGTAGAAGCTACATGTGAGTTCAGCAGGCAGTCAGACAGTTCTGAGGGTGAGAGCAACAGACGCAAGATGGCTCAACTCAGATGGATTCAAGGGTTTTTATTAATGATCCTGCAGCTCACAGGTAGGAAGACTGAAAACCTTTGTATAGAGCTATAAATGATAGATCTGCTTTATCAACTGTGTCTGTGTTCAGATTGAATATTTCTGGTTCTGTTTTATCTTTTAACAGTCACTGCAGATCAAACATCTGTTTTAAAGAGAGATGGAGATGAAGTCACATTGAAATGTTCAACAGTGATCGATGGTCAACAGAAGTGTAACAGCACTACATGGACCTTCACTGATTCAGGAAACACAGCAACAGTAGAGCTGGTTACCCTTGGTCAGATTAAGAATGACATCACTAAAGCAGACAGACTGAGTCTAACAGCAGACTGTTCTCTGGTTATAAAGAAGGTCAGAGAGGAAGATGCTGGACGTTATTACTGTCAACAATGGAAAGGAGAGAACAAGGACAGTCACACTAAGGTTCACGAGTCTACTCTAGAATTGTCTGTTCTTAACAGTAAGTATCAAATTTTGCTAAATGACCTTTGATACATTTTCAAGTTAAAGCATTTTGTTCCAGCAATATGGGTAACAGGTTAGTGATGGATGTTATTCGTCTGATTTAGTGTTTTACTGTTTACTGTCTCTTTATCAGTGACTAAACAGAAGAAGAATCAGAGGGTGAAATTAAGCTGCTCTGTGGTGACCTTTTGCTCCTGTACCTACATAGTGAAGTGGTTTAATCAGGATGTGGACAACAAAGAACCACCATCAGAGACTGGCTGCTCTGCTACTGTCTCTTTATCATCAGGGTCTGAGTTCCCTCAGTGTAAAGTGACTGATACTGTTACTGATGAAGAGTTTACCTTCAGTTTTCAGTCCTCAGGTGAGAAACAGGTTAGAAGATGAAGAACTGAAGAAGATCACTGACATCACAGGAAACTAGGATTGGCTTCAGGATTTGGACATTTATTGATTAGTAAATGGGTTGATGTAAATTACTTAAATCACCCTATTTAGTTGTTTAATCTGAATGACATTTTGGAAGAGTTTTTAAGATTGAAAGATTAACATTTTTCTCCTTGTTTATAGAAAAAACAGAAGCAGAAAATAAATCAACAAAAAAACCTGACGACAAAAAGACAACCAAACCAGAAACAAACAACGTTCAGACAACATCTGAAGGTTTGTGGAACATTTAGACAGTTCTAAACAGATCTAAAAGTTACAGCCTCTGTTGATACATACATTTCCAATTATTGTCTTTGATATTTGCTTGGAACTTCATTTTAATTGCGAAACCTTATTCTTTTTAAAAGGGAAATTTCCCCCAACATTAACATCTGCGAGAGAAACCTCAGAGAATATGAGACCAAAATCAGAAAATCCTCAAACAACTCCTCAAGGTAGGGATTATATTTTGTCTAAGCTGTGTAATATTTTTATATAAGGAACATTTTTATTTTTCAACTATGCTGTTTTTATGACTCTTTATCAAGTTTATTTTCCCAAATGATTAAAAGACCAAACTGGCATCAAGCAGCTTTTTAAGCAAATCATTCAAAACGTTGCATAATAAACACTCTGAACAATATTTTGATTTTGATGACATTATTGATAACATATTTGTGAAGATTCTCAATCATTCAGGTCATGGTCAAGCTTGAAAGTTTCAGTTTATGCAACTGGAGGTTTCACCTCTCTTCCAAGACGCTTCATCAGATGTAACTGATGGCGGAGAGAACTGAGAATAATATATTGTAGGTGTAACAAAGAATTAATGGATAAACAAAAGCTTTGATCCCTTCTACTGGATTGACCATGGAGATCACCTGGGGGTTTAATGGTCGTTAGTGGATTCTGATGGCTCTGATGACCGACACCACTCTTTCATCAGAGTGGTGTCGGTCATATGCCTCATTGAAGTGTGAGTCAGGTGAGGGCGGGTGAGAGGTGAATCTTGTGGGCATTGTTTCTAAAAGTGCTTTATAAGTGTAGTGATTTAATTAAAGATCTGACCCAAAATGCAGAAGACCAAACAGAGAGACCAGGGAAAAGTTTAACTGGTTTATTTAGAATAATGAGATGAGTCCAGTGCTGCTCTGAACACTATCAAACCGGAACTGGAAAGTGAGGGGAAGATACTGCAGTTAGTTCAGGCTCAGTGGGAAATTAGATTCTTTGACTTGAAGAGGAGGAACAGGTTGCAGACTCACTTTTCCAGAAAAAAGGTGTCTTTATTGAATCCAGTCTGTGTGAGATGTTCCAGAGATTGTCTTGTTTGATGGTGGGCGGACGGGGTTTACTCAGACTGCGGTTGTTCCTTGGTGAACGGAGAAGCTGACTGCCACTTAGATTTCCTGCGGTCCTTGAACGGGTTATTGTGGAGTTGAATCCCCTGTTCAGAGAGAACCCCCAGACAATCCTCTGGGGAAAAGGTTGATCCAAACTATAAACTTGAATCCGTAGCTCAGTCTGGTTCTCAGAAGATCCTTCCAGGGGAGAGAAGGTCCAAAACATCCATTTTGCAGAATGACTTCCTGCCGAAAGGCAAAGACAAAAACGGCAAGATTAAAACTCAGGTAAACAAGAAACTCAGCATGGCTAGAGTACCCCAAGCTGGCAAGCACTCTGGCGTCGAGGTAGTGGCAGTCAGCAGCTTAAGAGCACTCCACAGGTAATGAGGCAGGTGTGCAGGGAGGCCCAATGAGGACGGGGTACCACCTGGTGGAGGAGGAAAGGAAACACAAAAACAGACCACACAAACTGGATTCCTGACAATAAGTAGGTAAAAGGTTTTTTTCTAAGACCACCTCCTCTGTTGAGAGATGGCTTTTCCAGGTTAACAAAGATGGCTTCCTTAAATCCTCTCTCAAACCACCTTTCTTCATTTGTCAAAATATGGATGTCGTTGTCCTCAAAATAGTGTCCTTTAGCCTTCAGGTGTAAGTGAACAGCTGAGTCCTGTCCTGAGTAATTGGCCCCCCTATGTTGACGCATGCACCAGATAAACGGTTTCTTGGTCTCTCCAATGCATGGGTCTGTGCAATCTTCACTACACTGAATGGCATTAACCATGTTGTTAGGTTTGAAGTGCACAGGGATCCAGTGCCTCCTGAGTTTTCAGAGATGCCAGCATCTTAGGGAATTACGATATTTCTTCTGTTTTTTTCCTCTTCTTGTTGGTTTTCTTCAAAAAACCTATCTAGGATAACCTCCATTCTTCAGGGATGTCCTGATATGTCCCTGTTCTCTCATCCTCCCTCTACTGGTGGTCGGAGTGGTTTTTGCTCATGTCTGGGGGGTTCAGGTGATGCCTAGTTTGTGTTCCTGTGGGTCGTGTGAGTCAAAATTGAGGTTCTTGTCGGTGTGTGTGGGCAACCTGTAGACATCTATGTTGAGTTGTCTGCTCCATGATGTGAACCGTGCAGTCCACATGAAGGCAAGGCTGTCATCTTTCACATCTTTCCGAGTGACCTTGATGTTTCTGTCCACTGCATTGATGTGGTCTGTGAACGTGTTAATATCCTTGGTCTTTATTTTGACCCGTGTGTCATCAATGTATCTGAACCACTGACTGGGTTTTGTTCCAGTGTGTGAGTGTAGAGCTCTGCTTTCCAATTCTTCCATGTATAAGTTTGCCACTATGGGAGACACAGGAAAGCCCATCGTACATCCATGCTTCTGCCCATAGAAAGCTTGGTTGGATTGGAAGTAGCGTGGTGGTGAGCCACAAATCCAAAAGAGAACAGATATGATCCATGGTTAGGTTGGTCCTCTCTGACAGAGTGTGGTCTTGTAGTAAGCGCATCCTTACTATTGAGACAGCTGCTGTGGTGGGGATGCAAGTAAAAAGAGATGTGACATCATAGACCATACTCTCACCTATGCCCATTATAAGGTCCTTTATCCTGTTGCAGAAGTCCATTTAGTTAGCAATGTAATGCAGTGTTTTGCCAGGATGGGAGTGAGATGTTTAGCAATGCTGAAAGTGACTTAACAACTTAACAAGTGAGTTAATTCTGCTGATTATGGGCCTTAGTGAAGCTCCTTCTTTGTGTTTTTTTGGGAGGCCGTAGATCCGGGCAACGGCTTTACCTGGGTACAGCTGGCAGTATTGTTGCCTGTTGATGGCTTTGTCCTTTTCTAAATAATGAAGGCAGCTGATGACCTTTTTCTTGTGGTTGCTGGTGGGATCTTTCTTCGGTGATTCATGGATGACACTAAGGAGGGCTTTAAATTTGCCATGGTAGTCGTTTGTATTAAGTACAATTCTGCAGTTTTTTTTTAGGCTTGAGGGCTGTCAGAGCTTTCATTTCCGGTAAAGTTTAAAGGGGGGTTCTTTGCACTGAGAATGCTGCAGTGACCTTCAGTCTAAGTTGTTACGCTTCTGTGGAGGTCAGCTTGTCGTTTCTGATGACTGTCTCAGTGGCTGTGATGAGGTCCATGTGGGGATTTGTGCGGGGGAAATTATTAATAGTATATTTCCTCTCTCTTTGATTTTATATCTTTTTGCTTTCTCTCTCTGCTCCCTGGTTCTTATTTATACTTTTTTGCTAATTCTTACCAACTTTTTTTATTCCTCCTGACTATTTTGTATATTCTTTAGTTAATTGTCTATGTTTTTCCAAATAAAATGTAAACCGTTTTATATTATGAAGCATTTACTTACGGAATCTATGAGTTATTGGATCATGAACCAAAACTGTTTAATCAGCAGAAGCTCTTCTTTTCATTTTTTAATCACTCACATTAACTTATGATTTTCTTTAAAATATATCCTTAAATATACATTTTCTCCACACACTCTATATCTATATGTTTCAAATCATGCAGTGTGGATATGACCGAATATAATATTATTTATCATTGAATGTTGTTTCAGAACACTCAACCACTAAAAGGACGACAGTAACAGTTGCAATCACTAAATCTCAGAGCAGAGCTTCCACAGGTAAAGGTGAGGAGTTTGCAACATCTTTTTATATATTATCAGGACTGCCAAATTCCTTTATAGACTACATTCTATTTTTTAGATTTTACAGAATGATTTAATTGCCTTGATTTCTATAGATCATATAAAAAAAATCTAAATACTAATGCCTCCTTTTCAGGCCCTGCAATCATTGCTGGAGTTGTTGTTTCTGTCATTATCCTGATAATTGCTGTGGTGATCATCAGATTGAGAGCAAAGGGTGAGAATTTTGAATGATTCCACCTTTCTGAAATATTATTGTTTAGAATTTTCAATTATTATTGTTCAAAATAAATCAGAATCTGTTTTTTTTTTCAGGAAAGAAAACACAGACTGATGAAAATGCTGTGAGTACAGTTTGCATTTATCTGATCTAATGTATATCACCAACTACCCTCTGGATAATTGTTCCTGAAAAACAAAAAACTATCGGAGGGAAACTTTGGAGTCTGACAGCATTGAAAAATGTTACAGGCGAGCACCTGTTTAAAGGTTTTAAATTAAAAGAACATGTTGAGAATTTTGAAAAAAAAAATACACTGCTTTTTGCTGCAGAAAATGTAAATCTAAATAAATCTTTTTTTTTTAAATAAGTGCATTTTCACTTGAATTGCAGTCGTAAGGGAGACACTTTTCTTATTTCAAATGCATATTATCTAATTATCTTATTTTAAGAGTCAAAATATGAATTACATTGGCAAATCATCTTATTTAACTACACAAAGATTTTTTTACTTCTGTCTAGATCATTTTTGCAGTGCAGAAGAAGTAAACCATGTAAACCGTGGTATTTAATGATATAAAGTAGGTTTATTTCTATATTTCTTTTATCCTGGCCAGGTTGATCTTAAAGAGAACGCTTACTACTCCACCATCAAACATCCACAGAAAACCAATGTCAATGTTAAGGTAAGATGTTTGTTACACTGCTATATGTGTGCCAGGTTTTCTTTAACCCATTAACCGACCTTTACCTACTGGTAGATTTTAGCATCAAAAACTGATTGGAACCAGTTCCAACATCCCAAGGCCCAATCCAAACTAGCTCCTAAAAACTAACCCCTAGCACTAACCCTCCTTTTGTGCATTCCCTGGTGGCTCTGCCATATCAAGGGCTGTCTGAAACAATGAAGTGGGTAGGGTGAGTGGATGGTTAAGCCCTTAAATAGAGCGTCTGCATCGGTGCAGTGGGTGAAATGGCGGCCAACTGGCAAAGGAAATAGCTGCATCTATATTTGAGTTCCACTGGTGTGCTGCATCTTTGTCACACTGACAGAAAATTACAAGTTAGAAAAAAGGAAAACTATGTCACTAATTCCAAAAGGGAAGGACCTCTTTGAAATAGTTTTGTTTGGACTATATGTGAGTGTCTCTATTTTGCCTTAGCAACAACATTTTTTCTTTTACAGTAGAGGGAAGAAGGCGTCACATTCTCATTAATACCCTCTACTAATGAAGGTGCCCTCCACTGCTGCAGATGTGACTTCTATGGGAGGGACACTCAATAGTTTAGGGGTAGTGCAGAGGGGGCAATTGTGGATTGGACCAATTCTCCCAGAATTTTTCCAAGTTTTAACTTTCAATTTTGGCTTCAATGCCACCAGTCCAACGACAGGAAGAACAAGCGACCAAATAACAACAAAGAAGAACCACAGGAGCGAGTGCAAAATCATCATAACTTTAAAAGTGAGACCTAACTTTAACTAATGAAATTACAAGTCAGTTTACTGGCATGCAATAACATTTTATCATACAAAGGCCATTTGCATTTCAACTTCAACGGCATAGATTGGAGGCTAATCAAATAGTTAAATGAACAGGATGAAAAAAAAAAGTTTAAAAGTTTTAACTTTCTGTAACCTAGATTATGCAAGTCTGAACATGACCAACCTGATTAATCACCAGATGGCTCAGGATACATGAGTCCTGTTTTTTACGGTGTTGTCGATGTTGTGCTTAGGTAGGTTCCTGCAAGAAAATTATTTTCCCTGTCATTTAGCGCACACCTTTAGCAGGTAGAGCTGTTGTCAGGTTACAATCGGATTACTACATCTGATTTTTATTATAGGCTTAGCCAGGAGTGAGATGTAATTTAGGAGAACTGATGGCACCTTAGTTAAACATGAAAAGGCAGAGAGCTGAAAGTAGAGGAGCAGACAGAAATAAGAACTCAGAGAGCCATGACACTATTAGGAAAGACATCAAACACCAATTGAGTGATGTACTGCAGGGATGCATCTTAAGGGGTTGATTTTGTAGGGGTGTACATAATAATCATTTTGTATTGATGCATCGATCCAAAAGTCAACGATCCGATGCATCGACTGGTCCGCAAGAATATTGATTCCGGTCTATTTTTATCCATTTGTTCTTGGATGTAATTCTGGCTCCCATGTTGCGGTGGCGCTAAACCTACTTTGCCCTCCTACAGCGCTTCCTTTATTTCCTTTAGAATGGGCCATCCGCTTGACATATAGTGTGTCAAAGTGTGTGCATGGTTGTTTGTCCTGTGTTTCCTTGTTGCCTTGTTGTGGACAAGCGACCTGTCCAGTAAGGTTGTAACAATACATCAATCTACATTGATACATCAATGACTATCCAAATACAGTACATCAATGAGTCAATACATATACTAATACATTTATGAGTCATTCCACTAGAATGGGTAAAACTGGACTCTGATATTTTCACATTTTGTACCAAAAAAAAATTGTTCCTATGTACATCCTAGGGATGTATTCAACTTTTAGAAAAACACATTTTCCCATCTCAGGGACTATTTTTCTTTTAGTTTTGACCATTATTATAAGATTGGTCACCCTTATCCTCTACCCCATTATTAAAACTTTGCAGGCTCTTTGAATTTTATCATAAAATAAATCAGGATTGATGTTGTGGGAGTTTCAATACTGACGGATTGACACCCCAACCAGGAATCTCTGCAGCTATTTTGACAGCCCTCCTGAACCTATCTTTCGGGAGAAGGCATTGAAGTATATGTGATGTTGAGCATATGCGTACTCTCTTTTTTGGATGACCAATATAAAGCCTCTTCCCAATTGACTCTACTCTTTTGAGAAACTGGATGGTCATAACCCCTTTGCTGCAACTCAGTTTTTTGGTGTTGGTTATCTTACTGTTGCCGTGGCCATTTTCATTTAGTTAACAACTTATCTTTTAAGATCCTCAGTAAGTTCATTGTCATGAGGTGGCATGTTGGAACTGTTGGTGACCAGTATGGAAAAGTGTGAGAGCTGTACTACAAAACTGAAAGCACCGGCTGTAGTTGCACACCTGAGACCTAGTAACACTAATGACTCACATGACATTTAGGAGAGAAAATGATATGAAGTGCTCAATTTGGACATTTATGGGTTTTTTACTGTTAGGGTTTAAGGCCTACTCACTTCTGTAGCTAGTGGTGTAGACATTAATGGCTGTATATTGCATTGTTTTTAGGTAGCAGTACATTATCACTGTTATACAAGCAGCACACAGGCGCATTTTCATTGTGTTAAAGTGACATTTCTTCGGTGTTGTCCTATGAAAACTTTATCAGCAGATATGTGAGGGGTGTACTCACGTTTGTGATATGATGTATATATTGATATATGTAAGAATAATGTGTTTGATTGAAATACCTAATAAAAAGGTCAACTCATATTTGACTTGCATTTTGTGAGATGTCACTGTATATAACTGTTAGATGGGCTATTGATATGACATTATACGGAGTGCAGATTATGCTTTTGATGAAATAGAGATCCTATTGTGACATAATGTGATATGGGTAAACAATGTATCATCATCTAAACAGATTGATATCACATTGTATTGAGATTAAAATGGTGATATACATGCCTACAGTCCAGGGTGTACCTCACCGCTCACCCAAAGATGGCTTGAGATGAGTTTAAAGGATGGAACTAGAAAATCTAACCTGAAAAAATGTTTTTTATATTTGATTTTCATGACTGAAATAACAACTACATAAATAAAAGTGATACAACCTGATAATGTTGTAACTCTGTGTTTCTGTTTCAGGATGGTGGGGATCCTGATGCAGTGTACTACAGCACTGTGAGAGCCTCTCCCTCTTCTGCTGCAGCCTCTGATGATCCCAACAACCTCTACAGTGTTATAACCTCCATCAACTGAAACAGCAAAGAAGACTAGCTCCATCTAGTGGTAGCAGGGAAATATTGCAGCTCAAAGTTTCTCAAAGTCAAGTCAACTATGTTCCCCAATGTTAACCCAACCATTATGGTCAGTCAGTTTATGGCCACATAAGTCATTTCATCTATCAGAACATAAAGGTCTTTGTACCAGAATATCTATCTAACAAAATATATAGTAAAAAAAAAAAAAAAAAAAAGCGCCAGCATCAATAGTTTGCTTTAATAAAGATAAAGTGCTTTGCTGCTGATTGGTGCTGATTATGATAAGGACTTGCATATGACAACCTTATGTTATGTTTAATACTTTATATGTTGTTAACAATTAGAGAAATTTTATTTTGATTATCATGCAATAATCCTTTTGCTGTTGTTATTTATTTTAATCTAAAATAGCTGCTATAACAAAGTTTAGGGTTTAAATATTTTTATACTTAGCTTCTTTTGGTCCTGCTGATAGGGTTTTTTCAGTTTTTTTGTGATAACTTTTGCAAATCAGTTGAGTCAAAAAAAAAATTGTTTAGGAATATCTTAACCCTCTTATAAAATTACAACACCTTATACAGGATTTGACATTCTATTTTACCCTTCAAATTGAAAAACTCATTAATACTGCCCGACTACCAGAGTTTTCAACTATTGGTAAAAAAAAAAAAAACAACAGCAACAAAAAAAAACAACTCATTAACATTGTTTTTTTTTTTTTCTTTTTCCAAACAGACTAAATAAATTCAGGTATCATTTATGTATTTTAGGTATGAGAGGCTTAAAAGACTGATTATGTCAGAGGCTTTCAAATACATTATTGCATTTATTATATAATGTTTACATCTAATAAATATTAACATTTTGTTTACTCAGTTTAATTCCATTAACTATACTGTCAGTATAGTTAATGCTTTTAAGTTATGATTTATGTAAACAAAGCTTTAGTCGCTACTAATGAATATTAATGTATAAACATTGTTTTCTAATAAACATTTTCTTTGTTGTGGTTTACTTAATCTGTCTTTGATTGATTACATAGAATTTAATACAATAAGAGTGTCTTGAATTAAAATAAGATTCATTGAAGATAAATTACTTTAGAGACCAGATTAAGGATGAAGCCTGTATAAATAAATTCTAGTTATAAAAAATGAAAGCAGTCAAGAAATAGTCTTAATTTATATCAAGGTCTGACATAGCTCCAGGATTTTAATAGTTGAAATATTTTAACAAAACACATGCATAGTGTTTGTACCTTAAAAAGCTTTGATTATTTGCTCCTACCTTACCGGAACCACAGAAACAATTGATCTGGTATGTTACTTCTTATGTCCAAACTATCATTTTAAACAACTTCACAGCTAACTTATTTGTCCTGCACCCATTTATTCCTAAGCTTTGACCTCCTTGTTTATTTATTTATTATAATTTTTTTTTCTCTTTTTTTCTTTTTCTTTTTTTTCTTTTCTTTCTGCTTTTTCTTTTTTCTCTCTCTCTTCTCTTATTGTTTTTTTGTTCTAAAGCTAAATAGAATAATGACTGAACAACCTTTTACTGACAGCACTCATGTTTGCTTGTGTCAGATAGCTGCACTTTGATGTCAGACCTGCGCATAATCACATTTGATGGTAATAACGTGGCCTTGTATGACAATGGCTCATACATCTTAGTGAGTCTGCCAAGAGAGACTATTATTGCCACGGTGGATAAATGTCCAACCAGTCAGGTAAATGAAAAAAAAGAAATG